ATTAAAGAGAACCCACTGCAGCCACATACAGCGACACAGACGAGTCTCAGCATACTGAGGCTGTAGGCGTTCTGCCCGGCTCCATTCATAAAGTTCTAACCCTTAAGTTAAACTACATTGTTTAATGTGTTATTAAATTTTTAAAATCCACAGAAAAACAAGACAGATATCTGTAAGCGTCAGAATGATGGGCAGAGCTGATATGGAGCACAGCCCTGGGGCCTCTTGGGGTTCAAGCCTGTTCCTACCAGCAGTACTGCTGGCTGTTCATTCTGCAGCCAACCTTTAACACATTTTTATGTACTTAGACACTGACGTTTTAATGTACTTTTCTGTACCTTTGCTGTATTTCTCAACAAAGAACATTGCAACTAATCATGAAGGTTATCACTCTCCTGCTTATGAACCACACCATCTCATTAGTTTCCCAACGCCCAGACACCCATCACTCTGCCTCTCTCCTTCACCCACCCACAAAATTGGCTTCTGCCCTAAATCGCTGGAAGCCGAACTGCTCCTAGGGCCTCAGAAAAGGAGGAGACCGGAACTTAACAGTATGGTAATGGGATACTTTGTTGCCAAGCTTCCCTCCTGGAGAGCAGCAAGATACTGTCTCCTCGGGCTGCCCTTGTGTTGCTTCACTGCGCAGACCTGACACTTGGCCGCCCCCTGCTGGCAAAGGGTTGCTATTGCAGTCTGCCTGTGCACTTCCAGGGCGAAAAGCAATGGCTGGGTTCAGGTCCCACAGCACTGGGACTCAGGTTAGTCCTTGGCCGGGTGGCTCTTGGACGCCTGTTCTCCTCAGACGCCAGCCCCTTCCTGCAGCCCCAGTTCCCAGCCTCCAAAAAGCTTCAGGCCCACAGCTCCAGCCAAGTGCATCATCTCCTCTTCCCACCTGCTCTTCCAGCTTGGCTAACAGATTCACCATCCACCAGAGAAGCTGGAAGCTCCCTCTCCTCCGCCTTCTTCTCGTGTAGTTAGTGACCCTACTTCCTCCATGTGGCTGAGTCCTCTCTATTCACAGCTCGGACCCTTTCCAACCCTCCCGTCCTGCTCCCCAGCCCTCTCCCAGCACTCAGCCTGCCCCCAGGGCCAGCTCCTCCCTGCTGCAACTTGGCTCTTTATTAGGGGTTCCTGATGCTGTGATGAGGCAGTGGGCTCCAATCCCAGGCAGGGAGACTAGACAATCGAGGCTGTTCTGCAGCTGGGCAGGGCACTCAGGACCTATCCAGGAAAGAAAAAAGAGCCTGGGGGAAAGCAAGCACAAAGCCAGCTCCTGAGAAGGGGCCTGCAAAGCTCTCAACTCGGGGGCCCTTAGTTCCCTCAAGACTAAAATATGAGCACTGGAATCAATATTCATTCCCAAAGCATGATCTGAACATAATTCAGAGGGTCCAGGAAACAAACTGAGAAGCACTGGGTCAAACAACACTACACTATTTTGTTGAGTGCAGGCCTCCTTAGGGCCTTTAGCAAAGCATGAGGAATCTCACTTCTACAAAGAGAAAGGAGGGAAACAGAGATGGTATCTTAGTCTCTTTTCTGTTGCTGTAACTGAATGTCACAAATTGAATAATTTATAAAAGAACAGAGCTCTGGCCAAGCATGGTAGTGCACACCTGTAATCCCAGCGGCTTTGGAGGCTGAGGCAGAAAGATTGCAAGTTCAAAGTCAGCCTCAGCAACTTAGCAAGGCACTAAGCAACTCAGTGAGACCCAGTCTCTAAATAAAATACAAAATAGGGCTGGGATGTGGCTCAGTGGTCGAATGCCCCTGAGTTCAATCCCCAGTACCCACCCCAAATATAAATATATAAATAATATAAATATATAGATATAGATATAGATATATAACTCCTGAAATGCACAGCCACCAGGAGGAAGCTCAAGAGAACTATGTAAGGTAAAGAAGAATTCCAAAAGGCCACATGCTGTGTGATTCCATGTATGTAACATTATCCAAATGACAAAGTTTACAGGAATGCAAAGAACAAATGGTTCCAGGGGTGAGGAAGCTGGTGGATGGGAGGCAAGAGGGTGCAGCCATAAAGAGCCCCGTGAGGGACCCTGAGGCGAGGTAGAGCCCTGGGCCCAGGTGGGCCAATGTCACTGCCTGGTTGTGCTAGTGTCCTGCCCTTTTGCAAATGTCAGCATTGGGGACTTGAGTCAAGCATCCCCAGGATCCATCTTCCCTCCTTCCTGTCCTTCCTTCCTTCTTTCCTTCCCTTCTTTTTGGTAATGGGACTGAACCCAAGGGCACTCTACCACTGAACTACCTCCCCAGCTCCTTTTTAAATTCCAAGTCAGGTTCTCAATAGGTTTCCCAGGCTGCCCTTGACTTGGGATCCTCCTGCATCAGCCTCCTGAGTAGAGTGGCTGGGAATCACAGGAGTGGCCACTGCACCTGGCAGAATGAGAGTGGTCCTCTTCAGGAAGGACTTATTATTTCTTAGACCTGAATGTGAGCCTACAATTATCTTAAAATAAATTTAATCTTGGAAAGGTCTCACACTGAGAATGTAGCGCAGATTTCTGAAATAAGACAAAATAACACTACTGTGAAGAAAAATTTGAGTACATTGAATTAAAAATTCTATTCAACAAAAGAAAGTATGCCCCGGGTTTGCATTTGAATATTTAAAAAACTAAAAAGAAATCATAAGAGTATAAGGAAAATTTGAATTCTGATCTGAGTCAGTGGGGTGGGTAGTGGGCATTGCTGTTTCAACGTGTGTGTGCCCTCAAATTCCTGTGCTAAAGACCTTATCCCCACAGTGTCGGTATATGGGGACCCTGGGGGTGATGAGGACGTGAGGGCAGAGCCTTTCTCAGTGGAGCTGGTGCCCTTGTAGCAGAGACCCAGGGACCCATCAGGCAGGATAAAGCGCCAGGCACCACCTGAACCAGGAGACAGGCCTGCCAGGCCCTGGATCTGCCCTGCCTTGACCTTGGGCTTTCCCTCTCCAGAACTACGAAAATCAGTTTCTGTTGTTCTGGTTTGGGGGGTGCTGGGGCTCAAACTAAGAACCTCGTGCAGGAGGCAGAGTTCTCGTTCTGAGCTGCCCCACAACCCTGATTTCATTCTTTTCTCCCCTTCCTTCCCTTGTGTACCTATTTCCTTCCTTCTCTCCTTCCCCATCCCCCTCCTTTTCTTCTGAGATGAGAGTTGCTGTGCTTCCCAGGCTGGCCTCAAAGTCCTGGGCGCAAGGGATCCTCCCACCTTAGCCTCCTGAGTACCCAGGACTAGATGGGCACGCCCCCCAGGAGCCCTGATTTCTCTTGCTTGTAAGTCACCCAGTCTATGGTGTTCTGTTTTAGCCCAAAGGTACCAAGGCCTATCATTGGGCCCTCCTACTGAGAAGGGAAGAATCTTGCTGCTTCCTGAAAACACAGACCAAGAATGGTTCCTTGAGAGGAGTAACCTCCTAGCTAGGAGACAAGTTCCCATCAGAACCAGTAAACACTGGCACGGTGCACTTCTGCCAGCCCAGTGCCTGCTCCAGGCAGTGCATGAATTCCCATATTCACCCTCATCCTACAGATGGGAAACTGAGGCCTTGAGTTCACAGCAAGCTTTGAACACAGTAGGTTGACCTAAAGTGTGGAACCAGCCACCTCCCAAGAGGCACAGTGGTACCGTCACACCAAGGGACCTTGAGATTGGTCTCTGGGTTCCTTCTGACCCTAAGAGCCATTGAAAACACTGGCTTCAGTAGTCTTCAAACAGTCTTGTTCATAAACCCCTACAACCTGAAATATTCCATCCCCCAACACATTAAGTCGACACCTAAAACATTACATAAGCTTAAGTAGTTACAAAGAATGCAACTTCTGGCGTACTGTAAATATTGACACTTAGAAGCAAAACTGTCATATCACTTTAAAGAATGTAGCCAGATGGAATATAAATACCACATCCATTTGATGTCCCTCACAATCCTTTTAAAATAGCACAGGATGCAGACATAGGACATCCTGTGCTCCTGGAACCCATATTCCATTTTAATTCTTCTACAGATATTTCTCCTCAGGTAACATTTTTATGTTTGAAAGTTTCATTGATCCCTCTACATAGTTCTCTACAGCAAAACTGGATGTATAGGGGCTGGGGATATAGCTCAGTTGCAGAGGGCTTACCTAACATGGGCAAGACTCTGGGTTCCATGCCCAGCAGCAACAAAACAAAACAAAACCAAACAACAACAAAAAAATCTATAAGCTGAAATCTCCAAATTTGTTTGGTTTCCTGCAAAGCTCCATTTGTTAGGGGGAAAAAAAAAATCCTTTCCAGGCCTGGTGTTGCACACCTGCAATCCCAGCTATTGGGAAGGCTGAGGCAGGAGCACTGCAAGTTTGAGGTCTGCAAGTTTGAGGTCAGCCTGAGCAACATAGAGAGATCCTGTCTCAAAATAAAAAGGGTTGTGAATGTGGTTTAGTGGTAGAGGGCCTCTGGGTTCAATCCCCAAAAAGAAAAAAAAAATCTTGTTTATCATTACAATTACAGTACACAGCTGTTGCAGATACGTTACAAATTTTGGATAATCATGATTAGTCATGAGAAGTACAATGTTGTTGGAAACGCACCTTTCTCTTTGTGCCAGGGATGGCACCCAGGGCCTTGCTAGGCAGATGCTCTGGGGCCGACCCCACCCTAGTCCTGGAAGCAGATCCAGGAGGGCCCTCATCAATGGTAGCCCCATTTTGCATTTCACAACGTGAGCTCTGAAGAGGGCTGGGCCCTAAAGGCCAAATGGGAATGGAGGGTGCTCTGTCACGGCGATGCAAGGTCCTGAGTGCCCTCTCCCACGTGCTCTCCTCTCACCACCGTGGGCACGGCCACAGCGGGCAGCTCGCCGGTCCAGCCCTGGGGAAGAAGGCAAGGGCAGCCTCCGGGAGCGCAGGGTCTGCGGAACCCGGCCCCGGGCGACCCCGCCTCCCTGGGAACCCACGTGACCGGCCCGGCCCGGGGACGTCCCCAGCTCTGCCCCCGGAGACCTCAGCCTTGACCCTCCTCGGAGCGGACGCCGAGCCTGTCCAGCCCGGGCAGCGCCTCCCGCAAGCCCCACGGCTTCCGCCGACAGCCCGCGGTGCCGGGGCGGGGACGAGGGTCGCCGGAAGTGCTGCGGGCCCCGGGATCCCGGCCCGCGCCCCCGCGGCTTCATGAAACCTGGGAACGCAGGGTGGGGTGAAAGGCCAAGTCCGGAATGAGTGGAGGTAGCCTCTCTTTATAGGCATGAAGTTTGAAAGTGACTCCGGACAGTGTATTCGGATCTATTTTCCATCTCATTTTGCAAGAAAAGGCAGTTCACCTCTTTTCTTCAGCACGCACGACCCTGCGACTGAGCCCAGCGAACCCGGGCGGGTCTGAGGGGAGGTGGTAGAGGGAGGGTGTGCCCCCACCTCCCAGGCAGATCCCTCCAACCCTAGGGTGCCCTCCACCCAGGGGGAAAGTGAGACTCCAGGAAGAGCCGTGGGTGGAGCCGTTCTGGTGCTCAGTTCCTTAAAGACGGACCTCCTCCTCGTGGACGGGACAGACCTACGTAATTCTGCCTGTTAAGATCATCCCAATAAAGAGACTTCACTTTGCAAAGGAAAAAAGGGGGAAAAAATGACAAATTGACTCTTTTTAACAAGTATTTTATTATTTTTTGCAGTGCTGGAGAGAGACCCAGGACCTCCTGCATGCTAGGTGACCTCTGTACCACAGAGCCCCACCCCCTGCCCTGAAACCAGCGAAGTAATCCCAAAATGTCCATATAACTTAAAATGAATTAGAAGAGGCATAAATAAAATATCTGAAAAAGAACAAAATGGGATAGCTTGTACTAGTCAATTTCAGGATCAACTCTATTCAATTTCACATCTGATTGCAAATCTACAGTAACCAGGTGGGTATGGGTAGACACAAGGAAAGACCCAGAGATCAGCAGAACCGAACAGCAAGCTGGAAATACATCCACAGGAATGTCAATTCGCTTTCAACCAAGCTGCCAAGGTAATCCGATGGCGGAAGGAAGAGCTTTTCAATAAAAGGTGCTGTACAAATTGGATGTCCACATGGAAAATAACGCCCCTCAACACCGGCCTCGTGTTCCTCCACAAATTAAGATAAATCACAGAACTAAACATAAAATTGACACTGTGAAGCTTTTAGAATAAAATGTGACTATTTTATAACCTTGGGGTAGGCAAAGATACCTTAGAAAAAATGACAAAAAGCCTAAAGTATTTAAGAAAGTATAAATTGGACTTTCTCAAAATTAAGAATCATTGCTCAACAAAAGATAGTTTTAAGAAAATAAGAAGGTGGCAAGCCACAGAATGAGAGAGTACTTGTGATACTGATGGCTGGCAAAGGTCTTGTACCCAGCATATATAAAATATGACTACAAATCAACAACCAAAAATAAATAATTTGATTTTTTTTAAATAAGCAAAAGACTTGACCAGGCATTACACACACACACACACACACACACACACAACACAGTCAATAAGCATGTAGGAAGGCTCTCAATGTCATTAGTCATGAGGGAAATGCAAATTAAAACCGCAATGAGTCACCACTTCACAACCACTAGAATGACTAATAAGAAAGAAACCAACAAAACCAAGATGGAAAGGGTGAGTGGTGTGAAATCCTACACTGCTGACGGGAGCCCGTGTGCTGCTTGCCCTCCCCTAAAGTGTGGGCTCTGAACAAAGGCAGAGGTACATCCACACCATGAGCCAGCAGTCCACTCCAGAGACTTGCCCCACAGGAGGGAAAAGGGGCAAACCCTATAGACTTGTGCTCAGTTTTGTTTTGTTTTTTTTTTTTGTTTGGGGATTGAACCCGGGGTCGGGTGGGGGTGGAGATGGGCCTTTTACCACTGAGCCACATCCCAGCCCTTTCTATTTTGAGACCGGGTCTCAATAAGTTGCCCAGGCTGACCCTGTGATCTCCTAGCTCAGCTGGATAGACAGGCTGTGTCCCACACCCTGCTTTATTGATTCTTTTTTTTTTTTAAATATTTTTTTAGTTATACATGGGCACAATATCTTTATTTTGTTTATTTATTTTTATGTGGTGCTCAGGATCGAACCCAGGGTCTCATACGTGAGAGGCGAGTGCTCAACTGCTGAGCCACAACCCCAGCCCCTTATTGATTCTTTAAATACACTTTTGTCAAACCCTTAAAGTTGTAGACTTAGCTTATTTAGTTTATGGGAAAATTTGGCATGCAATCTGCTTTACTGAATTTGACCTTCTTTTACCCAGACTCACTCCCTTCAGGAGGCAACTGTATCTTCCAACCTACATCAGTGTGCTCAGACATATTTCCAGGAACAGAACAGAATCTACTGAGAAATAAACTAAGGGACTTATAAGGCAGATTACTAACAAGCAGTCAAGATTTAAATGATAAAAACAAAATTCATGTATCTATTTTATCATATATTGAGGAACAAGAAAATCAATCAATACGCTCTTTGACATCCTTTACAACTATGCAACATAACACATACCAAGTGGAACAAGTTACTTATGAAGCCAGGAGTGTGACAGAAGTTCCCATGGTCACTTGATAAATGTGTGTGCATGTGTGTGTTCATGTGCAGTTTCGGCTTTGAGGATTTATTAAATCAGCATCAAGTATAAAAACCAGAGAGGGGCGAGGGATATAGCTTAGTTGGTAGAGTGCTTGCCTAGCATGCACAAAGCCCTGGGTTTGATCCCCAGAACCATCAAAAAAAAAAAAAATCAGAGAAATTTTCATTCATTTTATTAAATATCAGGATCATTTTCTTAAGATTCTAAGGAAAGAGCAAGGTAGATACTGCTCTAAAAACACTCACTCTGACAGCTCCCCTGCCAGTTTTACTTTTTGCTGTTAGAGTAGAAAACACTAAGCGCAGGTGGCAGTGGTGCACGCTATAATCATAGCAGCTCGAGAGGCTGAAGCAGGAGGACTGCAAGTTCAAAGCCAGCCTCAGCAAAAGCAAGGCACTAAGCAACTTAGTGAGACCTGTCTCTAAATAAAATACGAAATAGGGCTGGGAATGTGGCTCAGGGGTTGATGCCCCTGTGTTCAAACCCCGTGAAAAAAAAAAAAAAAAAAAAAAAAAGACGAAGAAGAAGAAGAAAAGACTAAGCATTTGAAAGTCTGGGATAAAAGGACTGGCCAAAAGCAGAGCCTTTAAAGGTGATTTGATAACCCAGTTTGACCTACTTCATCACTTCCTGCCACCCACATTAAAGAGAACAGGCCTGCTGTGGATTCAACAGTGAGCTGCCCAGCGTCACCCAGACGCCCCTGGGCAGGGTGTTAGGTGGCTCCCTAGAACTGCCAAGGGAGCCAGGGTGACGCGCCTCCGTCCCCACATTTGTTTTCCTTTTCCTACTTTTTTCTTTCTTCTCTTTTCTTTATTCTCTTGAGACAAGGTCAGGTTGTGTTGCCCAGGCTGGTCTTGAACTCATGGGCTCAAGTGATCCTCCTGCCTCAGCCTCCCAAGAAGCTGGGACCAAATGGGGCACCACCATGCCCAGCTGCTTTTAAAACTGGTGGTAAACACACTAATGTAAAATTAACCCTTACAGTGACATTAGGACAGGGACAACATTGTGCAGATGCTGCCTCCAGCCAGGTCCTGACCATGTTCCTTACCCCAGCAGAGCCCATGAAATCGGACATGGCCACACTCCATGGCCTCCTCCCAAGCCCTGGCAAGCCCTGATGTACTTCCCAGCTCCGTGGACTGTGGGCATGTCCTGGGAATGATTACGCCACACGCAGCATGTTGACCCCATGTCAGTTGGGATTCAACAGGAGCTGGCCAGATAACCAGCCCGCTGAGAAGGGATTCATCAGGGACTGAAGCATAGAGGATGGGGCTGAGAAGCCCTATCACATTCAGAATGCAAGTCAGAGAACCAGGGAAAGCAGAGGCGCAGTTCAGTCCAAGTTGGACGGCAGACCCAGAGGAGCCGCTGGAGAACTCTGTCTGAGGTTGAAGGCTGGAGAACTTGGGTGCATGACGTCCAGGGCAGAGGGTGTGTCCTGGTTCCCAAAGAGACAGGAAACAAATTCACCTTTCTTGGCCTTTTGGACTCCTCTCCAGATTGGCCTGGTCCTGCCTGACTCCAGAGCCAGACAGGAAGCGAGACAGACTCCAGAGCCAGACAGGAAGTGAGCAATGCACTTTTGAAACAGTAGTCCAGGGGTGGAGGACATGCTGGTTTGGAGAGTGACCTTGGGGCTTCTGTCCTGGCCCCATCCCCTCAGTGCAAGGCTGTGGCCAGTCAGGACCAGGTGGTGGGGAGAGGACAGGGTCTGCCGCCCAGGAGAAGGGAGGCATTCCTGGATACTGAGCTTAGGAAGGAGATTCCAGCCTTCCTGGTCACTGAGCAGCTTGAAGAAAAGGGCAAGTCACAAACCAAAATCTCACATATGACTTCTGAACATGGTTTTTGGCCTCTATAATGGGCTGTTTTGGTGCTAGGAAATGAATCAGGGCTGGGTGCAGGGAGGAACCAGCAGGAACCTCACCTCACTGGTGAAGTTAGGGTCTTGCCAACATCAGAAGTATCACAAATCCTGGTTGAGGTTTTAAAAAGGGCGGGACTCTGCAGCTCAGCGGTAGCAGCAGCCAGGCCAAGAGGAAGGGCAGCTCTGCTGACCGCTTGGCCAAGGAGGAGCCCCAGAGGAGGCTGCCCACCCGCGCCAGCCAAGGTGGAGGTCATGCCAGGAAGGCGGCAGGCAAGGATAAATCTGGGGACAAAAACCTTCAAACAGAAGTGAAAACGGGGAGCACAGGGAAAGCGGGCTGAAGTGGCTAACCAAGAAACGAAAGAAGACACACGGGAGAGCACAGCGCCTGAGAACGAAAACCCAGGAGTCGGCCTCTGACAAAGCGGAAGAGAACAAAGCCAAGTCTCGTTGCTCATACACCACGTCTTACCAGTGGGCCCATCTCCGCTCTCTTACAATCCAGAGGAATGTTTAAAAAATATTTCTAGATGTTGATGAACCTTTATTTTATTCATTTAGACGCAGTGCTTAGAATCGACCCCAGTGTCTCACACATGTGAGGCAAGCGCTCTACCACTGAGCCACAACCCCAGCCCCAGAGGAGTATTTTTATCAACTATTTTACAAATGCAAGTTTTATAGTAGCTCTAGAAGCATTTTTATAAAAGAGGGAATCCTACATCATCCCATTTTTTAAGTGTAAATGATTTTTTTTCACAAGTGAGATAATTTGCTGGTTGTTTATTTTGGGGTACAACCAGAAAATAGTGGGGTATTGAATCATGGAAGGCTTGGACTGTCTTGGGTGTCAGCTTAACATGCCATAGGTGAGGGGTTAGTTTTATATCCTACAGTACAAAGCATATTAAATGGCAGTTTAGAGTCACAGTCTTGCATTTAATGTCTTGAATATTTTAAATTACTTCTCTCTCTCTTTTTTTCTTTTTTTTTTTTTTTTAGTAGAACTATTTCCTAAAGAAGGTCACTGCTGGATCATTGCTGTCAGAAACGTGTGTACTCTGTAACATCTTTGGTTGTGGAAGTCTACCTTTCCTACATACATATATATATATATGTTTTCTTACATATATATATATATATATATATATATATATATATATATATATATATATAAAAGAGAGAGTGAGAGAGAGAGAGAGAGGGAATTTTTTTAATATTTATTTTTTAGTTATTGGTAGACACAACATCTTTGTTTGTATGTGGTGCTGAGGATCGAACCCGGGCCGCACGCATGCCAGGCAAGCGCGCTACCGCTTGAGCTACATCCCCAGCCCCTAA